TTATCAATTAACCTTTAGTTATAAGCTGAGTAAATGATAAATTACTGGATTATGACGTCAAGAATAAAAAGTTCTGTGTAGAGAACCTTATATATACACAATTTACAAAATTATCAATATTAATAGATATATTTAGATATAATATTACTATGAATATTAAATATAAATTCGAAAAATAGTTACAAAATTAATAATAATTAGTAAAGTAATTATACCAATTTTTACCAGAGAATGATATAATTTAGTCGTATGGCTTTTTTATCCCTACGAAATGAAATATTGGTTACATAGAACATTTTGATTTTTATATGTCCTTAAAAATAAGATAATTCCAATTAAAAATTCTGACTTTATCATTATTTATTTAGATTTTAATATTTAGAAACTTATCATTTTCTGTAATTTCTTAAATAATAAAAACTTTTTAGATATTGCGTCAATGTAATTATGGATCGTACAAAAACAACTAATCTATCGAAAAAACATTTTTTTTTTAAATTCAATTATAATGAATACAAGTTTTCAAAATTCTTTGTTATATATTTAAAAAATAATATGAATATTCAGGTAATTACATTATTATGTAGCCTATTCATATGTAAGTGCTAGTCAATAAACTTTAAAAGTTTCAAAGCACTTAAATGTAGTTACTTTTCAAATTGAAAGCCAAATCAAATTAATAATTATTTATTGGATCTCAATACAATTTTTTTTCTGTTACATTTCACATAATGTAACATAATGCTTCTAATTTAATTACATCGGTAAATATAGAAATTTAATGATGAACATTGAATAAATTTTACCATTCATTAAATTTCAGTCCATATAAGCTTTACATCGTCATTTGTTTATGTTTATTATTAATAAATATTGATTACTCTCGTTAAAAAAGTAAAGTTTTCAATTGTATTAAACGAACAAGATTTATGTGTGTCTAAACTGCACCAAAAACTTAAAGTAAAATTTTCAATTTTTAACTGAATTATTAATAGTTGTTAATCGAATAGAAAAAGAATAAAAGAAAATCGTCAAATCTTATTGTAAATCGTCAAATAATAAGAAATAACTTACTTTGTGTACGTTTAGTTAGCTGCTACATTGTGTTAAATAATCAACTTTTTAGAAACTTTTTAGAAACCACAAAAGTGATTACTGAATCCATTGAATGTTCCTTTCTTCATTGTATCTAAATAGAATTCTTAGTCAATATTACGAAATTGTTTCCAATTGTTTTAGTGATAATTTGTAAGTTTATCTCTTCTGTAATTTAATTGTGTGTTTAGTATAGCAGCTGGACCAATGCAAATCATCATTGTAATCGTGAATACTAATTTAAAGTTATTTGTCGAATTATATTTATTTTTATTATTGTTATTGTTTTATGAATTACTTAATTACATAATTTTGAGTCAAAGAGGTAACTATTGTATAATTTTACAAACCTTATTTTTTAATTATTATTTGTAAATAATAATTAAAATGAAGTAGAGAGGTGTCTTTTGAAAAAACAATTTTGAGCCATGGGAAATAAACTAAATTGATTGCTAAGTTAACACCTACTATTTGGACTCGCCAAATATCATTATCTTTGATTCAAAAATGGAATTAAAAAGCTATTACTTAGTCAATCATAGAACTGTTCAGTCCTATTAGAACTGTTTTGGATTTGTCAATGAATCATCAGCCACCATATTAAATAACTTTTAATTAAAATTTTAACGTTATTCAAATTCTAAGGATTTTTATGAATTATTTAAATAATCTTACTCCACGAAAAGTTTCGAATAGTGATTTAAAATTTTCATCATTTGATCTACTTAATCATGATTATTATATATACTTATTAAATATTAATAATACATTCTTTATTCATTCTTCGTAATATTATGATTTGCATCAAATAATTATGTTAATACCTCAAAAGTAAACTCTACTTTTTTTACATTTTTACTTTATTGTTAACTCAACAATGTGTCACTAAATAATATTAATCATAGTAATAACACATAATCAAGTTGAATATTAACGCTACACAAGTTGTGTAATATTGTTGCAAATAATCGATAATAATAATTTTTAGGAACATTTAAACAATGTTCATATTGTTCAAAAAATTAATTTATAAATGTTTTAATACTTGTAGCACATATTCATTGTCTTTTTTCATTCTTTACTCTAAAAATATTTATTTCATTTCAGAACAAAAATGTTATATTGTAATTTTTTCAATTTCTCAATAGAATGCCTTTAAGTTTAAAATATATTTTTTTGTGATGAAACTTTGAAAAATTTTGATATTTTAGGGTATCTTGAAAAATAAGTAGCCATAAAACCAAATGAAATGCACAAAATTTAAGAAGTATATGAAATTGATGCATGTTATGCATTTTATAATATTATAAAGCCATGAAAATCATTAACTTATTTATTAATTGACTAAAAATGAGTTATTATATGCAAAATAAACATGAATTGATGAATATGAGGCTTTAGCGAAGTCATTGATCGTCAAATTTTATCTGTAGTATTCAAACATAAATTTTAAGATACTTCGGGTAAATATTATTGGATTGATCCTAATTTTTAAAAAGATACTTAAACTGATTAAAAAAAGTACTAGATTTCGAAAAAATGAATGTATATAATTTATTATTATATAATGATATAATTTGAACATGAAGTAATTTGTAGTAATATTTGCGCCTTAATATACAGAGTAGAACAGATCTAACTGGCAACTCATATAACTTATGATCTACATAACACTTTATACTTTTTTTTTTTTAATCAATTTTTACAATATAGAACTATATTTAAAATATGTTTTATGTTATTTTTTGCAATTACAAAAAATATTTTAAAAATTAATTTTTTTAAATATTTGAAGATAGCTATTATATATATATATAAGTTTTAAAGAAAAATTTTGAAACCAAAAACTCTTATTTTAATTCAGTAGTTACGTTAGACAGCATTTTTAAGTTTGTAAAATTTTGATTTTTTTTACAATTTTCCTATGGTATCAAATGTTAGTCGATATTATATTAAGTAAACACTTATTGCGTTATTTATTAGAAACAATACGCGATTTCTTTTCCATTAAAAAACAAGAAGTACTATAATTAAGATTATTAAAAAAAATTAGAGAAACATTGTTTGAAACATATTGAATAAAATTATCATAAATTTAAACGTGAATAATAGTGAATAAGTGCATTTATTATCAAATATCCTAACAAGGACTATCCTATAATAGTATGATTACAATGATAGAATCACGCAAATTAATAATTGTTATCACATTTAACTTGGCTAACCATTGAACACTCGTAGTAGACATACGATAATGTTTCTAATTTTAGTAATAAAGATTAGAGATAATCATTTCTGTATAAAGCGTGTTAAACGTTATTATTGTCCATGGAAAAGAAATCGCGTACTGTTACCAGTAAATAAAGTAAAAAGTGTTTACTTCCGTCCGTTACAGAATATGGACTAACATTTGATACCATAGGAAAATTGTAAAAAAAATCAAAATTTAACAAACTTCAAAATGCTGTATAGACGTAACTATTATATTAAAATAAGAATTTGGTATCAACATTTTTCTTTAAAACTCATCTATAAAATGTCTGCCTTCGAATCTTAAAAAAAATTTTATTAAAAAAAATAATTTTTTAAATATTTTTTGTAATTGTTTATTATTAATGTTAAATAATGTAAAATTATTTTTAATTTTCTAACATTTTTATAAATGTATATTCTTTTTTTTTTCAAATAAAAATATTGTTTTTCAAAACACTGAATGAAAGGTCTATTATGACTATAAGTTTAATATACTATATTGGATTTAACACTTAAGTAAAATTTAGTTAAAAATAGTACAAATATCAAGTAAACAAAATGGATTTAAAATTTCTAAAAACCAGTAGCTTACAACTAAAGTTTCACTCAGTAAATCTTTCTAAGAAATTAAAAGTACAATTAGACTTAAAAATAAATGATTTACTCAGTATTAATTATTTTCTTTATAGTAAAATAAAGTTAAAATGTGTTATTTAAGTTTAATTAAAAAAATAATCAAGTGTTTCATAGTAATTCTACACGAATGAATTCCTCATAAATTATAAAATTATATATACTTTAATTACTTTTCATACTAAACGAATTAAAAAAATATTCTTAACAATTTTCGTGTTCATTGACGAATAAAAGTTTTTTGTTATTTTAAATATCATATTAATCTTCAAATAAAATTAAATTTCAAAAAATATAAATGTAGACAAAAAGAGTGGGATTTATTAAAAATTCTGCTCCTTCTTTTCTTGTTAAATAATTATTTTTTCGAATAAACTTTTATTTGTTATTATAAACTAGAGTTACTTCACCAATGAATCATCAAAATTTTTCATCTTTTAAAGTTCTTTATTAATTTATATTTTGATGTCCCGCTCATAAAGTTAATAAATATTTGTTCTCTGGAATACTCTTTATAATAATACTGTAAAAATATTTATAACTAATAAACACAACAATTTAAATTCATTATTAAATATTAAAAACTGGAATTTTCCAGTGAATAAACATTTATTTATACTTCATCAAAAGTTGTAAGAAAGGGTAAGACTTGATTTAGATATTTCCTTTTTTATAAAAACTACTAAGTACAAAATTAGTAGTTGTACGTAATCTGGTACAAGTTACGCAATAGTACATACTTTGCACTACTTTAGAGTATTTTCTCATAGGATAGCATAAATATGTACACTTTGTTTTAATCCTATGTATCAAATTTATTATTTTTTTTTTATTAATAGAAACTAAAGCAAGAATCAAAATATATCCTACAACACCATTCTATTAAAATATTCTTCTGACGATTGATGATCCCTTTCGTCTATTTACCTATCAAACCGAAATAAAAGTAACTTTTTAATGTCTTAAATTTTTTTTCTATTTCAATAACAACATCAAATAAAGAATAAATAAACAATAAATAATTTAAAAAATATTACTTTTTTATTGAATAAAATTACATTTTTTAACAATCCTTAAAAAAAATACAATGAGCTTTATTAACCGCCATTCGAAGCAATAAAATATAATAATAAAATAGATGAAAATAACATTTAAAAATAATGGTAACAAAAGTCCTTTGTGCGAGATTGGTAACTTAGTATTGACTTCACATTACCCAAAATTTTAAGTAAAATTAATTTAACCATAATTATATAATTAGAAATTTTTTAACGCTAAAGCGTTTAGGATTTTACACTTTGAGTATAACTAAATCACCGTCTTCCTTGGCAGTCGATACTTTGGACTTATCAGACTCAGACTCTACATATGATGTTGCTTGTTTCGAATATCCTGGGAAGTCAAAAGATGGGCTAGGTTTTGGATAGTTATAACCTAATTGAGTAACTTGTGGGTATCCAAAAGATGGGCTTGGTTTATCATAAGAATATCCGGCTGATGGAGCTGGTTGATTATCTGGTTGAGATGACACACCATAATCTTCAGATGGAACGCCGAGACTTTGTTGTGGATATCCTTTTGTTTCAGCAAATTGATGTTGGTGTTCAGGGTGTCCACAGTCAGCTTTTGGTGCGTCTAAGACTTGTAGAGGATCTGGAAGAATTACAACGTCTTTTTGTCTGGTTTCTAATACTTCAGGTGTGGTTGATGGCAATGCAGTTGATGAAACATGAATATGTTTATCACAATTTTCAGTTGGTTTGCTTATGAAAATGGAACTTGGTGGAGTTGGTGCTGCAAACTTAAATTGAGGAATTATTTGATTGTAGCTGGGGAAAATTGGTTTTGGAGGTTGCTGTGGTATGTCAACTTGTGGATAAAAAAATGTAGCTTGAGGCAATTTAGGCAAATCGTATTGTGGGAAAAATGGTAATGGAGTTTGATGCTTATGCGCTGGATTGTCACAATCTGGTTTTACCGATTTTACGGCAATTGTGTTTGATGCTTCCGGGAAGTACGGATTTGGTGGAATATATATTGGAGCAGATGTTGAAGGTTTTTTTGTGGTTGATGGGAAAGTCGGTGGTGGATAGTATGTTGTTGATACTGGTTGTGGTGGTAAGAAAGTTGTTGATGGTGCTGATGGTGGTAAGTATTCTGGAGCAGCAGTTGTTGGCTTTAATATTGATGGTTTAGGATCACTTCCTTGTGCTTCTTCTGGTCCAATTTGCTTACCAAAAATATAAGTACTTGCTGGTAAATTTGGCCGAATTTTTTCACCGGGTAAGTTATACAAATATCGATAGATTGATAAAGAACATGGTGTAGTAGTGGGCTGGGCGTAAACATGTTCAAAAACTACAGCTACTAAAAACACTAGTGAAGCTTGGATGATTTTATTCATGGTTGTCTCTAAAACATAAAGTTTTAATTTATTTTGTATACTATTTTTTCAATGCATTTCAAAATGATTAAAAATCAAAAGCAAAAATAGTATTAATTTTAATTGGTTAAAAATTAGACGATATGAAAGTAATTTTATAAATTCATTTGCTATACAAATTTCAAAATAAAAATTTGGTTATAAATTGAATTCTAAACATTATGGTATTCAAATGACAATTGATAAATTAAAATGAACTAACATTTCTTTTAATTATATAAAATTATAATTTACATTCATTTGGTTTTTACAAAATAACCATTATAATTCTTACAACAGTTTCTATTACACTTGGTTTAAAAAGCAATAGTTGACTCGTGTCATACATTACCGATAATAGTTTTTAAATATATGCCTTAAAAATATAAAATATTACTAGCATCGTTCTTTTTGACAATAAAACACCCAATGAGCTTTGTAAGTTCACTTACAGACACATGACAGCAATGCACACTTTAACGTTTATAAAAGCATTAATCATATCAAAATCATTATAGATTTTTTTATAAAAGAAAAGATAATTCTTGTCTATACTAAAGTAATGACATATTAAAACGAATTTCGTTGGATGGTATCCAATATTCACATGCATGTATAATGTAATTTAAGTTGCACCGTCATATGTCAATATTAACAAAACGTTTATAAATTGATTTTACGAAAATCTCAAAATTATATTTTTTGAATAATTATATAGTACTTTTCTTCGATTTTTTTTTTATCTGATATTTTTATTTTTTATTATTGATATAATGTAAAAAATAATGTAATAATAAAACTTAAAAAAATTCATTTAACAATTCAAGATTATTTAAAATTGGAAACTGCATAAATATTATTGAATATAGCTGAAAGTAATAATGATAATGATAATAATTATTATTGTTTTATCGGAATAATTAATTGAATAACATTTGATTACCTTAGTTGTTACCTTATTCAAATAAAACAAAATTATACTAAATTTCAAAATTGTCTTTTTATACTTTTTTTTTCAAAATACAAAAAAATTATTATCATTAATAAAATATAGTCATTGTTTTTACACAAATCATATAACACAGGAACCCAATTGACGAACAGTTCTTAGATAATTTTCTAATATATAAATAGTATTCTAATATCTAAAGACGTCCCTATTCCAGAACGTGTTATTCAAGTTTTTTTTTAGTATTATTCTAAAAAAACATTGCGTGAAGACGATCACAGTGTTATGAAAATAAAATCGATAAAACCTGTTGTAATTGATGATAAACTTTTGTTTATATTTTACGAAATTATTACTTCTTCCCTGAACCAGTCAGTAAATTATATTTTCATATCTCTGCATATTTGTGCAATAAATAAAGAATTTCAAAATTATATATTGTATTAACTAGTTGACAAGAATGTCAATCGTTTTACTCGTAGAACTCGCTGTCGTATCTATTATCTTAGACCTTGGCCTAGTGATGTGTGTATTTTAAAATTTCGACTCTTTAATTATGATTTTTCATATTTCTGTGGTTATTCTAAAAACTGATACATCACTTAGAAATTTTTCAGGAGAGGGAAGGGAACTTAAAATTTTTGATGACTTATAACCTTATAGAATATGTTATTTTTAAGTGCATAAAACAATTCTTCCCGTTAAAATTTGTTGATTTATGAAAGAAACATCCATATTATATAATTCTCATCCTCCTATACAATTAAAAAAAATCTCAAAAACCCATTTTTTGACATCAGCTTTTGATTAAGCCACCGATTTCAACTCAATTTGTATTCATAATTTATCCTTGTTAACCTATAGAATATCTAATTTTAATAAGTATTATGTTAACGACAGAGTTACCCGCTGATTTTCAGTTCTCAATAGAATAACTAAATCCAAATTCTCACGCTGTGCACGCATTTCATAAGATCTACGTGATAAAACTTTTTTCTTGAATTAAATTTTGATATTGAAAACTTTTTATCCTCAATTATTGTATATTTTTGTAAGCTCTAGATTGTAAATACTTTTAGTTCAATGCAAACTATATATCAATTTATTTTAACTGTGTTTTCAAAACATTTTTTTCGTATACTTCATATACAAATAGCTCAGGCAATAAACTTTGGAACTTAGTAAACACATTTATCATTAATACCGCAATACACGTCACTTTGCACTAAGAAAGTTTGAAATTAACTGTAACATGTTCAACTTTAATCTAGTAAAGTACTTGAATTTTTGACGTTTTTGGAATATTAATATTGTGTCTTTTAAGAGACAAAATAAAAGATTATTGAAGATAATATGATAACACGTTAATTAAGTTAACTAAAACAAAAAAACTTTTTTATTAACTACGAAATAGTTTACTGAATATGATAGGTACTTATCTTTCTACTTAATGAAAAATGTCGTGTAAAAAAGACGATCACTAGAACTTAATCAATCAAAGTTTACAATCTCAAAAATCTGTTGCTCTAAGAAAACGGAAATTATTTTCGGTTCCTTAGATGTTTGAAAAAGAGGAACTCAGTTCAATTAATTATAGAATACCAATTTTTTACTTTATTTAAACTCTGACCTTTTCGCTTCTTCATTCATTACTTATTCCCTTGACGTGAACCGTTAAGTATCTATAAATACTATGTTTACGTAGTAATAAAGTTTTATATTACCACATTGACATGGAAAAAATATATTTAATAATATCAGTGCTGTTGATTCATTAATGTCGGCTTAGATTAATCATATAATTATTTACATTCTTGGTCAGTAAACAGAATCTCAAAATACTTCATATCACTCTCAGATCTATTACTTACCATACTTAATTCTAAACTTCTAATAAAAAAAATATATTTGCCAAATCTACCAAAGTACTTTTAAAGAAAGAATAATAGGTAAGTGTTTTATTTCGCAAAGCAATAAAAACTCTTCTATTTAAAGAACGTTTATAATCGATAAAATATATATACATTTTTAATGTATTGTCTTGAATGTTATTTTGAAATAAATATTAACAAAAATATAAATTTTACATAGTACAGAGAAGTAGGACATTACTTCTGTAAAGATGGAAAAAAGGGCTTGAAATTTTCATAACTTTACTTAATATCTTTCCATTTCTACGCAAATATAACACTACCTCGGGCTTTCTTTAAAATTATGATTTTTATTTCCGAAAAAAAAACTTTAAATTGAATGTTTTAAACTAAAAACACTTGACGGGTTTACTTCATTTCAGCTTAGTACACTCTTTCTAAAATTAATACATTTATATATTCGTTTGTCCAGTCTCGAATAAGGTCAAAGATGTATAAATGTAAAATTTTACAATATAGAAGAAAAAAACTTTTGTTAAGCTATTGGTAATGTTCATGTTCAAACAAAAATCACTAGGGTTATATTGATGAGACCAATTTTATTTATTAATATACACGCATGCACGTTTTTAAACTAAAATTAAATAAAAATGTTGAACAACCACGTGGCTGTACGTACGTGCCGTTTGGCACATAACCGAACAAAATTAAGCCACCAAAGTAATTTATAGCTTAGTTTTTACAAATTTATCACCTTAGAAAAATTTTATTCGACTGAAATTTACCAAATTATTTATTTCTACTGTATATATGATTCAAACTAATATCTAAAGAAATTTTTTTTTCAAAATCACTAATTTTATTCTAATTTTGAATGAATTCTGTATTAAATTTTGAATCATTAATATTATTAAATTCAACAATTACAACTATACTGTTAAAACCAAATAAAATGCAGCGCTTGTTAAGATATTTCTAAGCAAATTACAACTGACGAATAATTAACAATGAACTATACAATAAAATACAGTTGAATAATATCTAAGCAGAGTTGTCAATGACTTGATTAACGAGACATATAAACTACAATCCAATCCTTTACAAATAAAATAAGTCAGTCTAAAAAGACAACGAGCGATTGTACGGTTATTTCAAAATAATGACTACTGGTAACGTAAAAAAGTACACAGAATTATATATGGACATGTTTTGTTCAAAGCAAAATAACTACACAACAATACTTTATTTTTAGTAAAAAACATTAGATATTATTAAATTTTATAATAATATAATGTAATCAACGTTAATAAATAATTATTATAATGTATAATAACTAAATCTGTTTTGATAGAAAATTTATAGAAAACTATTTTATATTTCAGATATAAATTAAAAATTTTATTTTGATAATATGAAAAAATATATATATATTTCCTAGTATATTATTTATCGTAAAATGTGATCGACCTTCTATAAAATATTGAATTTATTCATTCCTTATTATTTTCAATTTTTATGATCATGAATTAAAAGTGTAAAAATCATGCATTATATCTATAGATGAGTTATTAATAACTCATCACGGTTTTTAAAAAATAAATAAATTATCTCTAATAAAACAAGAAATTGTGTCGAAATTGTGGAAATTTTAATTTTAATTTTTTAATACACATTAAAAATAAACATGACTTTGAAAATAGAAGTAAGAACCTTTTAATTTTTTAATATAAAGTAAAAAAAAGTATTTTATTCATATTTAACCTTTTGATAAAAGTAATAATTCGCAAAAAAACATGTTTTATTAACATAACTATTTTCTTTTTGTTTAACATGTATATATATACTATTATATGTACAGCAATATAAAAGTGAAAAAGTACTTTTATAAAATAAAAACTTCATGTTATATTACTACATACACACATATTACTACACCCCAAATGTTTTAATTTGAATATTTATTTTGAAAGTTTTTCACTATTTACTTGAATGAATAATTCAGAGTAATGATATTTCATTTAAAATAGTATTATTATTTGTTATTAAAATGTCTAAAAATGAATGGATTTACATATCATTTTTACTAAATAATTTAAAAATAAATTAAATAATAACAAAATTGAAGAATTCAACTAGCTGTACTGCTAGTTTTAAAACTACTAAAGTTAAATGTGTTTGCACTTACTTTGTATCAATTACGTAGACGTATGAATTAAATACACGATAAAATTGTTTGAAAAATTAACTTGATATTTTACTTATCTATGTTAGCACGAAAGTTTTGCACGTTATAAGTTTGTAACCAATTCGCTTTTGTTTTTATACGGTTTGCACATGTAATATATGTGCAATAAGTTAACTCAAAAGTATTGTGCACAAAATACGTATGTCAGATTAATCGGAGGCTGCATATCGGTTATATACGGTCAGACGTTTAAGGAATAGACTATGTTGTAGGTGTAAGAGTGGTCAATGACACGTTGGAGGGAGCATCTTCAATAGCCCGCCGTAAATTTCCTACATAATGCTACTGGACAATTCTACATAAAAAATATCTTGTTTTTTTTTCTTTAATTATGCTTGGCATTTTTTGAGGACAATCTCGGCCTTCGATACACTACGTTGACTCGACCTAGTAGCATCACCAGTATGATTCACTTGTTCTGTAGAATTTGTTAGAGAAAATAATAAAAATGTTGATGGCAGTTATTACCTAAAGGTCGAGGACAAAACCGGCGCCATGTCAAGACAATTACAATGGAAGAAAGCCAATGCATATCTCCCTTACATTAATCTCAATTTATATCTACATTAATAATTAGTGTAACTGTTAATTGTCTAATAATTATTTACAGATGGCTAAATTAAGATAAAACGATGAAAATAATAAATAGTTTATGCATTGNTTAACAGTGAAATAAAACTTATATCGATAAATGATGTATTAAATTAAGTAATACAACATTTAAAATGTAATCATTCGCGATAGTTTTGTAATCAGACAATAAAAAATGAATATTGTACATAATATATCGATTGTACTATAAATTCGATATTGCTTATGGAAACGGTAATGGCTATGTGGTAGTAAAAATAAAATACTGTATAGTCCAAAGACGTGATTAGAGAAATAGTGTAATTTAGTAGCTGAGCAGCATTTCCGGTACTTGAGTTGACCGGAAAGAACCCGGAAAATTTTATGACATTTAAAACGTTTTATAATTTAGCGTGGGGTCACCACTTCACAAGACGGTCGATAGTAGCTCATGTGTAATCATTTGCATTCTCTGTTGTGCTACAGATATAAAAATAATTTTACAGTTTTGGTTTATATAACAGATATTGTCACTGTGTAATCATAAATGGTAGCAGAGTTTAAAAATATTACTGTATATATATATATATATATTATAATTATATTGAACATTTAAATTATGAACTCTTTACAAAACAATCGATAATTAAATAGTGATACCTTCTCACTTTACAAAAAAAAAATAGCTATAGATAATACCATTACATAATAAATTATTTTTCAGTTTATAAATTTATAGTAATAAATTTTAAGTAACACTTTTGTATTTTAGTTACATTTTTTCAAAACGAAGGCAAATATTTCCTTTAAATGCTTAATTGTGAATTTTTTGCTAAAAATTATTTTAATGGTACATTTAATGTTAAGTTTTTACATTTAAATAAATTTATAAAATTAAAAATATTATATTAATAAACACCGGGTTAAATAAAAGAAAATTAAAATTACAGCTTTTAATATTTCATCTTCTTTATTGATTTTTATGAGCCATTTAGATCCTTTGCAACCACTTGCCTCCGCCCATATCTATTTTAAGCTAATTCTTCTACGTTGTTTACTCCCTGCCTCAATGTATCTTTTTTAATCTTGTCTTTCCACCACTGTCAAGGAAAGACAGCTTTTCATTTTCATTCAAAAAAAAAACACCATCGAAATACTGATAGGGTCGAAATTTTAAACCTTAGAAGTCAAATTCAATTAATTTTGTCGTTGCATATATTTAGGTCATTACCATATTTACATAGCTGCTTGTTAATTCATCAAATATTAAAACAATGATGGAAGGTAATTTTTCAAATATCATCCTTGATTAATAATGAATAATTTTAACAGTCAAATAAAAATCTGATAAATTATTTATCTACCTGATTAGCTGTCATATATTGACCATTGACTGACAAGGTATAAAATCATTACATTTGATATTATTCATTTTGAACAACAATTACTTAATTATTACAACATAACAGCAAATATAAATAATTCGATTATTGTTTATAATCTTATGTTTGTACAAAAAAATTAAGAATCAAGAGTATCTTTATAATTATAAAATAAAATGATACACGAAATTATTTATTATTATTCTTGAAAAATCTGAAAAAGTTTTATTATGGTACTTTATTCTTTAAATTTAAAGTCTTATTTCTAAGATTTATTTAATGAAAATTTATTTGGTATTATTTGATGTTAGTTTATTATAATATTTATTGGGTTATATTTATATTCATTTCATAATTGTGGTGGTCAAGGGATATGTTTTATTAAACTTTTTATCACACACTGACTATTAAAAAAAAAATTTAAGAAATAATTTATTTAAATCAATGGTATAGTATGAAATAATAAATGCATTATATATTATATTTATTTTTAAAGTCAATATTATTGTATTAATCGTTTAGTTTCTTAGTGGTAATCTTGAACATTTTTGTGACTCATTTTCAAAAATGAAATATTTATTTTAGATATTTTTCAAAATAGAATAAACTTATTTCAAACATCAATAGTAACTTATGCAAATTCATATTTTTGAAATGATAATACATACTTTACTAATAAAATAGACACACTATTTTGTGGTACATAGATAAAAGATCAAACATTTTTAACACTCTCAAAAATATTTTTCTTAATTAAATATAGACATAAAATACTATTTTTCTGCATAATCGAGTAAACTCTATTTTTTTGTGTACCACTACATAAGTTTGTAAATGTAATGTTTAAGAAACAGCCGTCCAGATTGAACATGATTACTGTCGTATCTTTCTTTGCATACTCATCTTTCATTGGTTTAAAAAATTGAAAATTACATGATAAAAAGTCTGAACTATAAGGATGATGATATACTTCCAATCTCTACTCTTTATACGTTTCACTACCACTCACTATTTTGTCCAAAAAATCAGTTCCTTCCTCTCTAAATCGTAACAAAACGAACTGACAGTTTGTATTGGGCGGTTGTTGTACTCCTCTATCAATAATCTTGGTACTTATATTGAAGTAACTTTTTTGTACTTAAGGTTATCATATTCTACTCTGATCACTTATATAAGCAATTTTTATACTTTTAACGATTTCACCAAATCGAATCAGCTAGTCTACGCCATTAATTTTTTCAGGTGTTGTTGATATGGAAGGATTTCCGGGCGGCGCTCATTGATAATATCCATTTTTGAACATATCGCACCACCACATACCTACTTATTTAAAAATAAATTATATCATACATAATTATATGATGAAATATAAAATAGTGCACTTATAATATAAGTGCACTAATTTTTTACCATTCTTCGTATTATAAAATTTTAAATATTTATGAAATATATAGGTAATGGTAAATGTTAAGATATCTGATTAATATTTATTATTTTTAAATAAATTAACTGATTGATAAGCAACTATTATCTACTTAAATTTTTTTATTTAGGTACATAAATTTTATAGTTTGTTTAAGACATGTAAGAAAAACGATAGCACAGCGTGAACAAGGAATAGTTGGAACAAGTATAAATTATATCTAACAGTAATTAAAATCACTATCATAAGCAAATCTATAGATACTGTATTATTTTACTATGTTTTTTTCGTGTCTGTTATCACTTATTCATTGGACTGATTTTGATGAATAACGTCGAACGTTCAGAAATTGTATCTAGCTGAAGACATTGCCCTCAAAAATTGAAAAACTTCCCTCGTTTTCTGGAAAGGAGAAAAATCCCCAAAAAATTACAATTTTAAAAATAGGTAATTTTTGATATTTTTTACTTAAAACTGCTGTAATTTCTTGAAAAACATATAAATAGATACAAAAAAAAATTTATGAATAAATTAAGTATTAACCTATTATTTGGAATATTTTTTTGAAAATCTAACCCTTTAACCACCGACACTACAAACAAGCGTATAAAATCTAGAACTTTTTCAACTTAATATTTGAAAATGTTCCGGAAATACTGACTATTTTTTATATACCTTAAACTAATCTTTATATAATATACTTTAATTAGAAAAAATAAATTGACCTAATATTTTCTTTTATGTTAAAAATGGAATTCAAAGTTAAAGGAAAAAGTAAGTATTTTGTATAAAAATTCCAAAATTTAATAAATTGTTTTATTTACAAAAATTTAATTAAAAGTATTTTTAAGAATATAGTGTAAATCTCATTGGCGTATTAAGAATGGATTGATTATGAGATCAAACTCCCCTATTTTTTTTTCAAAAATATTATTTTTGACTTTTAACTAGTACAACTTTTTAAAAAGGAATTTATTTTGTTTTTTAATTTTGTGAGTCACGAAAAAGAGGTCGATGACAATAACGTTTAACCAAAAAAAATTTTATTTGAAACTTTCTTTGTGCACATTTTTTTACAATTTATATTTTACACTGTTATTAATTTTAAAAAATGTACAACTTGGTGATATAAGTGGAGCCCACAGTGGTAAAGTCACCAATTAAAATTTTTGTCTCTATTTAGTCGATAAAAACAACTGAAATTTTGAACTAGCTCAATTAGATGATTTAAAATAGCAACATTTTCACAAAAGTCAACTTAACTTTTGTAAATGTTCCAGAAATACTGTGTCCTTTAAAAATATGTTAAATTAAATATTACGTTAAAAATGAATATAAAAATTACAAAAACCTAACTTACATTAAATATATAATTTAATCTTATTTTGAATATATTACCTTCCCTAAATTAAGAAAAACGATAATGAATTTTTAAACTAGCTTTAATTATCTTTTTTAGCTTCAATTTTATATAATGTACGCTTGCCGCGTCGGTAACATCACAGTCTCTTACGCTCGGGGAACGAGATACGAACAGAACCCTTCCCATTGAAATGACAATTATTGCATTTTTTTCTAAATTCTTTTTGGGGTGAAAAAAAATTCAAAGTTCATTTGATTTATATCTCATTTAGATTGAATAACTTTTAATGAGTAGTGAGGACGCCATTTATTGAAATATTCAAAACTTTTTTAAAATTAATTTATTAAAAATTGTATAATTATTTATATTGATATATTGCTTGTTACGTATTTTTTTAATTAAAATATATTTATTGAT